CTTGCGCGGCTAGCTTCGTTCTAAGGCCAGCGGCGCGATCTTGTGCTCGATTCCGGGCTCCTTTAGGGATTTTGGCAAGGTGAAACATCTTTCCTTCTCGAGATATTTGCGAACAAACTCCGGAACCATTTTTTGACCCACCCTGTATGCCGTTTTTATCTCGTTAAAGGGATGCCGACGGCATAGCCAAGTGGTTACGCGCTGGAAAGAAAATGTCTCTGCGCCTCTCCCTAGGGTGCGCTCTCCGCCCTGTTGGCTACTTGCCAATTTGTTGATGAGGGGGGGAATCGACACATGCCGTCGGCAGCGCTTTAACGGCGGCTGATAGACCTGGAGCTACCAACTGGTGACCTTCAAAAAATTTTTGGGATCTACCGGCCGGGGTCTACCTCGCTATAGCAGGGAGAGTCTGTTTCCTAATGCGGGGATAGGGCCACTGGCACAGCGACCCGGCTCTTAATAAAACGTCCGTTAGAATTGGAAACCAATAGAGACCGCAACACGTGCGATAGACGCGACGCGTAATTGCGAAAGCAGGCCTGGACAGCTGGAAACTTGTTGCTATTGCTTCAAAAACGCGTACAGTACTCCTTTTCCCGGGGACCATCTCGAGCGAACCCAGGGGTGGTTGTGCGGGGGGAAGAGGGCCTGTCCTGACCCGATCCCATCGGCCTGTTCGCACATTGGTTGTGTAATCGCTTGCCGCGCGCCAGGCCTGTGCTCGGCCCTGGTCGTTTCTTTAATGTTTGGCTCGTCTGGTGCCAAGATCGACGATGACTTCAGATACTTCTCGAGTTATCCGGTTCTTTTTTAGGCGACAGACCCATCATGGATTCGATATCGCGGGCAGACAGCAGAAGCAGATGTAAGTTGTTTTGAGTCTGCGTATTTCCACCATCACCAATATCTGTTTATGTAGGATTCGAGACTGTGGCCAGTTGTTTTTTAAACTTTTGGTTTCCATCGGGGCGACCAACTTTTTTCTTTGAAGCCATTTTGCTAATAGGAATCCAGCAAAGGCGACTCGCTTTGACGATTTCTGGGCGTCAAGACTTTCAAATTTCGACAGAAAAACTCAAAAGTCCGATTTTTCGATCGAAAATCGCCGATTTTCGCCCAAGATCTCAGTCGTTGCGAATCACTTTTTTCGTTTTTAAGTGGATTTGACGCTCAAATATGATCGAGTTATATTAGATAATATTAAAATAACGTACTATGCATTTGAGTTACCCCCCCGCCACTTACCTTCGAGTTACCTAGCGGTCCGCAATCGAGTCCGATTGTTACGATTTAGCTATCTATTGAAAGCCCTCCAAATGGCGAGAAAACAACGAGATTTTATTTTATTTCGTTTACATTTTTATTCGCGCATTTTACGTCAAAAAACCACGAAAACTGCTGATTTATGCAAGATCTGTATGCTAATTGCGAAATTCGTTTTGAAAAATTACCGGTTTTGTAGAGAAACATTAAATATTAGACAAAGAGGCCCGCTTGTTTTCTCGTCCGTTCGAGAGCTTTCGATAGATACCTAAATCGTAAAAATCGGACACGACTGCGGCTCGCTAGATAGGGTGGTTTTTTTTGGGATACCCTGGAGAAAAGAACTAATAGCGGGTTGGAAGGTAAGTCCTGATTTTTGAAGGCTGGTTCAAATCGCAGAAAGCTCCATTCGGCACATGCGATATGTTTTTTTGTAGGTCTCGACCTGAACCCTTTTCGGAGGAGGGTCCTGGACCGGGGCGTAGCCAGAAAAAAATTTCGGGGGGCCCCCAAAAAATTTTCTCAAAACCTCAAAACATTGCCGAAAAAACAGCGCCGCAGGCAAAAATTTTTGAAAAAAAAGGTTGCATAGCTCTACAAATGGCCGTAAGGGGCCCCGGGGCCTGTATTACGCTACGTCCCTGGTCCTGGATAGTGTTGGTTTCTTACCGGTACCGAAACCCAGTACCGGTACCGACAGCCATTTTTTACCGACGCCGTTTTTACCGGTACCGGATCTCCGGTACCGGTACCAAGCATGTACCGAGAGGGTCGGTACTTTTTCGGTACCGGTACCGAGTGAGTACCGACCGATCGGTACTTTTTCCGGTACCGGTACCAAACCGATCGGTGGCGTGTCGCCGCGGCGACAGGGAAGGGCCCGCCGGTATTTCTTTTCGAATTAAACCCTATATAAATGAAGGTAAGAGCAGAATTTATTTAGAACAGCTAGCAATACAAATCCCTGTATAAATAAAGGGAGGAATATCATTTATTTTGTAAAAAAGTTACGCAGTGGCGACACGCAACGCGTCTGGCCCACTGCCAGGAAGCAACCCGGGCCCCCTGTGCCCCCTCCAGTACCGGTCCGCAGTACCGTTGCCGGTAGTAAGAAAAGTTTATTAATGAAATATATGTGAATTTTTGAATAAATTAGAAGTGTAAAATAGTGTAAATTTGTATGAATAAAAATAAGAAACTCCCACTGCAAGCAGGGGAGTAAAACGAGCCGAAGCCCGCGGTAATCCCACTAGGGGACTGAACTCTGCAAGCGAGCGTAAAACCGACTAACAAGGAGTCGCTTTTAGGTGCTTTTGGAGTTTCGGGACGGGACCTAGCTAGATCGATAGAGAAAAAAATTCTGAGCAACATCCCGTTTTCAAAAAGTGCTGATCGATAAAGCTGTTTTAGAAAATTTAATTTAATTAAAAAAGTTCCCGGTACCCGTACCCTTGTGGTGATTTGAGGTGATTTGCGGCGGTCGATCGCCCCGCCAGATGAGGACTTCACGCGCCTTGGATCTCGTCCTAGGCATGGCCAAGTGGCTAGTGCGATGGCCTACGAAGTTTTTTTTGACCTTTTGCCACAAGTTCGATTCTTATTTATCGTTAACTTTTTGCTTTTTTGCTAATTAAAATTTTATGCACCGATAACGGGTTCATGAACCAAAAAGCAAAGGGTTAGCCAGCGCGAAGATTCGAACCCGAGGCAAAAAAATGTTTAAAAGTTGGTAGGCAAGCGCGCAACCAATACGCCAATGGAACCTGTGATGGAGGCATTGGCGGAGGGTTACGAATGGCGCCCTGCCCAGCCCCGAAAACGACGTGAACCGAGGAAATGGACCCGAAAACTAGAAAAAAACGCGAACTTTAAATTAAAATTTTCCGAAAAGCAGCTTATCGATCAAAGCACTTTTTGAAAACGGGATGTTGCTCGAATTTTTTCTCTATCGAAGACCAGCTTAGGTCCCGTCCCGAAACTCCCAAAAGCACCTCAAAGCGACTCCTTGTATGCGGTTTGAACCAAACCACGAGGGAATGGCGGGTGCTCTAGATAGAGCTGAAAGTAAATTTAAAATGGTGGCCTGTTTCGACCCTAAACCAAGACAGGCTGAAGTAATCAGGGTGGGTCTCCTCAGTTGGATTCCCTGATGTTCCTAGTGTTAGATTTGAAAAGGTAATATAGAAGGAATGGAGAAAAGAATTTTAGTTAATTTAGAGTTAATTTTTGTCTATTTATTATAGTTTTTTAACTAAATTTCTACGTTTTCACCTTCTTCCTATTTAGATTATCTCTTTCTTTCCGTGCATGGGGCGGGCAAGGAGGCCGCGTAGATAGGAGGGGTATGTAGCCTAGCGTAATAGGATGGACGGGAGAAAGAGATAAAGAAGTAAGAATTGAAAGGAGAAAATGTAAAAAGAATGAAAAGAGGAAGTAAATAAAATGGAGAATGTAGAAAAATTATTAATTTAGCTATTTATTGTTTTGTTTTAGTTTATGTAGCATATGTTTAACGCTGGAATCATATTTTATGCTAAGTCCCGGGTGCTTTTTCATGGTTTTAGTGAATAAATTTAGTAAAATATAATTAGGATAGCCATTTTTAATTAAATGTGTGAATAGTTGCTGTAAATGTTTAATAAACGGGTATAGATTCGAACATTTTCTAGCTATTCTGATAATTTCGCCTTCCACGCAGCCATGTTTGATGGTGTATGAGATATTAGAGAAGTAGTTAGGCATGCGTGTAACGCTAAAATGATAGTCATCTACCTTGTTGTAAAGTTCTGATTGTATTTTATTGTTTTCCAACATATATTTTGGGTCTAAGAAGTTACCAGACGTGGATATTAGATTAGTTTGCTCCAGTGTTAGTTCTTTTGGGTAAATTTTTGCTAGGAAGTTTTCGATATTAACCCCAGTTTTGTATAGAATAAGTATATCATCCATATATCTGTGACCTATTACCTTTTCTGTGTGGTTATCTTTTAGAAAATTGAATGGCCGTAAGGGGGCCCGGTGCCTGTATTACGCTACGTCCCTGGTCCTGGATAGTGTTGGTTTCTTACCGGTACCGAAACCCAGTACCGGTACCGGACAGCCATTTTTTACCGACGCCGAGTACCGCGAGAAGTTTTTCGCAAAATCACGAGAAAGTGTTGCAAGTTGTCTCTGCATAGAGCAGGTTATACATAGTGAGGGAACCCGCTGCAACATTTGGACTTCCTAGATCAACTGATTTCGGAGAAACGGGCTCTACTCTGTAGATCAAGCCGTTTCGGGCGGCCGAAATTTGCTTAAATTTTAGCAAAATTGCATTTGTGTCTTTTGGATAATTTCCGGGCTTTAGAATAGATGCGCGAAAATTCAGAACTTTGAGGCCTCATTTCTTCTCTGGCGCAGCCCGTGTTCCCACTTCCTTTAGAAGTTCATTTGTGTTTTTTGGGTGCAATCGAACGCTGATACACCGAGCCCTTTCCGACGCTTCTCGTTCAAGTTTTGGCAAAAACCAGAAAACATGGTCATTCGCGCCTTTTAAGATCCGCTAGGAAACACTACAAAATATGATGCGTTTACAGTTCGATAGCGCTTTCTATACTCTTTCCAATAGTTGAGTACTAGTTTCGTACCCTTGGAAGCTTTTCGGAAAATCAGGTTGAAGCAAATACCGACAAGACTTCTTGACGACCTAATACCTTCCAACCGATACTTGACAGATTACCCGGATCATCCGTTCAATGGTTGCCATCAATGATATGTACTATTGCGGAGGCCACGCATTCGTATCTCCAAGGAATCTGGCAAATATCCGATGTGCTGTCGATCGGTTGAAAGTCCGCTGCGTATGTCAAATTTTCATTTCCGGTATAAAAATCATTCAGTTTGACGGTCTGAGTGAAGTAGTGCGTTGTCGAAGATGCAGAATGGTACGTACGATTCTACGATTCTCTTTGTGAATTTGTCGCTTTTTTCGATCATCAACAATCCTAAAGATCCGAATTGCTCAAAAGTCAGCCTTTTTTACGAAAAACTATCCACTGTGCAAACTATCGTTTTTGATTTTTGAAGATTTTTGAAAAGTAACAACTTTGAAGCGAGCAAATATGGAACGAAAGGGTACGAAAATGAAGCTCTCGGAGTCAGCTATCAAACGAGTGGTAAAGAATGTCGATTGGTTTAATTAGCCGTCAGTAGGACGCTTCGGAAAATCGGCAGTTTTTCGCGGAAAAATTCTAGATAAAACCTTCTTGCTAGCTGATTTTGCTGATATTTTACAATTAGCAATCTTTGTCAACTGCCACCGTTCCACAGAAAAATGGAAAGAACGCAATTAAAAAATTTTTCGCAAATTGTCGAAATTGTCGAAAATTCACAGGATCACCGGGATATGGCATATATCCTACCTTATATAATTTGGCCGCGTATCTTTGTGTGTGTGTGTGTCCGGCGCCAGGGAGGGCTACTTTGCATAATTCCAAAAAATACAAATTTCCCCATTCTTGCAAGTTGCACGCGCATGTGTGGTCGGAGGAAGGGAAGGGTCCGAAGGACCCAAGCTATCGGAAAGTCAAATTTCTCATGCAAAGGCCGCATTCCAGCGCCCAAGGCCCGCGAAGCGGGTTTTGGGCGCTGGTTATAGCATATGAATCTTTGCTAACAAGGGAAGTGCATGACCGGCCCACGGAAAATCGAAACGTGACATAGTGGATCTGATAGAGTCAAACACGGGGATTTCAAATCTGTAATCAGAATCTGCTAAACGAAACGGAGAAAAAAAGTTATGAAGCCTCAAAGTTCGTAAAATCGCCCAAAATCGGATTTTTATGGACCTGTAAGGGCCCGGATAATGGAAATTTTCCACAACCCCATAGTGTATCTTGCTCACCAGAAAAAGCTCTTTCGAATGAGCTATGACACAAAACATTTACGATGATTTCGCGGAAATCTCTTTGATGACCTCGACAGGCCTCGCCCGTGAATTAAAAAAAAATGTTTTTTGATGAATTATTTGAAACTGGTACGTATTATGGCTCATTCGAAAGAGCTTTTTTGTCTACCCTGTACTTCTACCTCGATTAGAAAAGTTCGGATTGATCCCGCGATATTGTTAAATATCGGCAAATTGTCATGACTTGATTGATTGCCGAGTGATTCTATAGAATTATCGTCGTCATTTGCAGAAATCGGAAAGAGCAATCGGATGGAAATGTAAAAATTGTACATCAATGTGGAATTTGGAATGGATGAATGGGATAATTGGAAGTGTTGGTCGACAAAACAAATACGTTTGCCTCTCCACTCGTCAACGAGACCATCCCACAATATTCAAGCTGCTTGATGTTAGTTTATTTCATAACTATCCATATACCGCAACCCCCCGAAAAAAACCAACTAAAAAACAGGCGCTTCAAACGTCTGGACTGGTAAGCTGGAAAGTACGACCCCTTGCGGCCCCGCACCCCCTCCAAGGAAATACGACCTGACCTGATCCCTGACGCTGGCGCCGCAGGTTTTAGAATACATTTAGCCGCACAAGCTAGCGCCGCAGGTTTAAGAATAAAGCTACCATCTCAAGCTTGCGCCGCAAGCTTTAGAAACGAAGCTAGCCGCTGAAGCTAGCGCGGCAGGCTAAAAATTCAGGTTGACCCCTCAATTTTGCGCCGCAGAATTTTTTCCTTCTTAACAAGGAAAAAAAATATAGCTGTTTCAACATCCTGAAAGGTCGGCAAGGTCGCCCATTTTTTAATTCCCCATTTTCGTCGAAAATGTCTGGCGAAAATCCCCAATTGCGCGAAAACCCCGATTCCGTACAGATCCCGGCTACCCGAAGAGAGCCGTCAATCGATTACGCGCGGGAAATAAAATGTCTCTGTGCCTCTCCCCTGGACGCGCCCCTTGCTCTGTTGGCTATTTGCCAATTCGTCTAACGCCCTTTAAACGGCCAACCCCTTCCCCCTCCCCGTTGAGTATGTTTTGTACGGAAGATTACCCATACCCATTTCAGCTTGCATTCTGTCCATCAAGAATGCAGAAAAGAGGAATGCTATACAGCATCAGTTTAATTAAACAACCAACTGAAGAGGCTCAGCAACAGCATCCGTTTATTGCCCACCTTTTCCTCGTGAGCCTCATTGCTTTTCCCGGAAATCAATATTTAGCGAGAATTCAAAAGACGAGTGGAGGAATGTTGAGGAAATGGAATCTTCGTCTTTCTTGATCAATCATTTGATGATACTCGCTGGCTAAGAGAGCACGTCGAAAAAGCGGTAATCGATACTTGGGTAGTGTATTCCGAGTTGACCATAGAGAAGCACCTTGCTGCCCAAATATTTTCTACTTGTTATGCAATCCTGTTTTCAAAGATAACCATGTTTATAATTTAACTAAAGGAGCGTAAAAGTGACAAATTCCGTCGAACTGGCAAGTTGCCAAAAAAATTTTTGATCGCGATTTTAAAATTTTTGATGGCAAAGGAATTTTATCTGGAATTATTTCCTCAAAAGTCGGGATTTTCCGAAGGCTCCTGTTCGCCGGCTAGTTAGACCGATCGATATTCTTTACGACGCGTCTGATAGCGCATTCTGAGAGCTTCATCTTGATTGCCTTGAAGCCCAGCTAACTCATCAAAAGTTCCATTATTTTCCTCTTCAAAAATTTCTACTTTTTCAAAAATGTTTAAAAGACGTCCGCGAGTCTCGCGAACAGTCCCCATTATAGCTTGGCACAGTTTGTTTCGACCCCCATTTTTGATGCCATCTGATAGAGCGTGGTCGAATTAGAGGAATGGCACTAATTTGGGATTTTTAAATTAACATTTTCCCGGTTAAACAAGGCGTTAAAGTTGCCAACGTCGAGAATCTATCACGACGACTACTTGACAGAATTGGCTGAAACTTTGTGACTAGGTTTAATTTGGGATGGGGATCATTTTTCTAATACATCGCGAAGCATGAAAATTGGCAGAAGCTAGTTAAATTGCATACTCAAAACAGTTTTTGCCGAATTTCAAATTAACGGCGATTCGGCCGCACGCTGGAAATAGGCTAGAAAGATGCGCAAAATTTTTCTGCATCGATTGATGCATTGCATTTAGGTGGCGGTCAGGTCGCCGTTTTCTCACAGCGAGCTTTTTATAGCTGAAAAATGGTCTGAAAATCTGACGAAAATGTTGCGCGGGTAAGGCCACCAGGACCAATAGGCCAGTCTGCCTGGTTGGCTCATTGCGGAGTCGGCTGTCTTGTAAGCGTAGGGTGGAGTCCGATGCCGCTGGCCTGATCTTTTTTGCTTTTTGGCGATTTCAAGAAAAACAGTGGGTTCACGCTGAAGCCATGTAGATGGCGAATTTTGGAAATAATGACCACAACAGTCCTGGAAATCGAACATTTGACTGTGGAAATTCAAACATGGAGATTACGTATCTCCACGCCGTTCTGGCTGCATAATTGCACAATTTTCAGACAACATTTGATGAAGGATGCTGGATATTCTTCCGACTATCCGTTCCTAATAAAGGTATTGTTGGCATTATTTAATGGAATCCATCATCTCTTCCAGATTTTATTGGGTGTTTGGTACTCGGCCCGGCAACACACGTCACTATAAGTCTAATCGATCGATAATCATCCTCCATCATTTATCTACACCTCCAAAATATCAACATTTATCACTCACCATGATTGTATCTTTCGATCGATTAGAATAACCACCCCCATTGATTTGAATCTCACAACAAACAGGCCAGTTCTTCATGCTAAAAAACAGTCATGCTCAATATTGTTCACGAATTATGTAAATTGTATTTTACAAGCTATTTATCGAAAAGAAATACGAATACTATATTCTTGATCATAATAACAACGCAAAAGAGATATTGAGCTAGAAAGAAGACGAACAGAACAGTAATCAATGAATAGCCTATCTTATTGACCATTTCCAACCATCCTATCCTATAAGCGAGAAAAGTATGTTTGTTTTCTGTAATGAGGATTTCTCGGCCGTCAGGCCGAATTTCTGGCTGATTTTTTGAATGGAGGTGAAGAAACACATTTGTCAGTGATGCATTTTTTTGTTTGGCGTAATTCCTTCATTGAACGATTTTACAAGCAAAATAGTCAAAAACCCTTAACATTTGGCCAAAAACAGGTATGTCCGGAGGTTTTCTCGGGCGCTAAGAGGAGTTGGGCTTTGATTTTTGGAGGTGAATGGTAAAAAGCAATTCCCCCGATACTATGTGGATTTTGCCAAATTACTTAAAATAAATTTTTTATGAGCAATTTACTAAAAGGCCCTTAATAAGATGACCACAGTCCCGTGGTGTCCGGGCAATAACTCGAATACCGGATGGAATTTTGGTCTGTAATTTGGACCAGTTATGTATTCGATAGTGGGGATGACGTGCATCTTATGATTTTTACAAATTTTTGCCGCATTCAGACTCAACAAGAGAATTTTCTAAAGTTACGAGAAGCCCTCCCTACAGGGATGATCGGGCTCCCAGGACAGAAGAGGCCTTTCCTGCCGCCCATCGCCATCGCCCCGCGTTGTAGTGGATTGGCGCCCGGTCTACCAAGCGTGTGGTAGGGGGTTCGAAGCCACGCCGAATTTAACTTTTTGCCTTTTGGGAGTTCAACAACAAAACATATTTCTAGCCCCTCGGTGGGCGAGTTTTAGGTCTGGCCCTCGCTCCAACGCCGCAGGCCAAAGAAAACATACTTGGCCCAGGCTCTGGCGCCGCAGGCTCAAAGATTGTAGCGCAACGCTGTCTGGCGCCGCAGGCCAAAGAATGGTTGCTTTAGTCAGGCTCTTGCGCGCTGGCTTCAATAAAAGGAAAGGGAATTCATGATTCCTAGACGGGGTCCAGGAACCATGAATTTGGATACCTTTTTTTTTAGTCTGCGGCTCAAGAATCTGAGTCAAGGAGCCATTCTTTGATCTGCGGCGCCAGAGCGTAGCGTTGCGCTTCAAATGTTTCTGAGTTTGTGGCGCTAGTTACTGGTTTTGCCTGGGCCAAGGACCTTTTCTCTGGCCTGCGGCGCTAGAGCGAGAGCCAGGCCTCAACCACACCGAGAGCCTAAAAATATATTTTGTTGCTGAACCACCCAAGCAAGAAGGTAGAATCCTGGGATCAGAAGCCCACGGCTGTGAGCGTGGCTAGACCTGGAGCTAATCACTTCACCACGGGATAGGAACAGGCGGCTGGGAAAGGCCTGCTTATGTCTTGCGGCTCAGGGGCCGGGGAGCCAAGAAAAGGCTGTCAATAACCCCAGGGAGGCCTTCTCGTCACTTCACAAAATTGGGCTTCGCTTATACTTCCGAAAATCTGATTCCCGAAAATCCGTTTCCCGAAAATCCGATTCCCGAAAATAGAATTCCCGAAAAATCCGAATCCCGAAAAATCTGAATCCCGAAAATCTGAATCCCGAAAATCCGGTTCCCGAAAAATCTGAATCCCGAAAAATTCGTTTCCCGAAAATCTGTTTCCCGAAAAATCTGAATCTGAAGAATCTGCGGTTTGTGAACTGAAAAAAACCCCTGGTACAATTCAACGAGGCGGGGTAATCTCCACTCAGCGCCCGCCCTCTCTCTAAGAGCACCCCTCACGCCTCATGAGTCCACCTCACCGCCGAAATCCTCCACCCCCTCCTATTTGAATTGTACCAGGAGAACCCATTCCTAAGGTTCTGCAGGCGACTTCCAGGACGGTTGAATTCAATATAGTTGGTTATAACTTCGTTTTCCTTCCAATTTGGCTTTTCAGAGCGCGGTCTTTCCAGGTTTGGATTCTGGGGCTCGGATTTTTCGGGATTCAGATTTTCGGGAATCGGATTTTCGACAATCGGATTTTCGGAAAACGGATTTTTCGGGATTCAGATTTTTCGGGAATCGGATTTTCGGGAATCAGATTTTCGGGATTCAGATTTTTCGGGATTCAGATTTTCGGGAAACAGATTTTCGGGAAACAGATTTTCGGGATTCTCATCGGAAATCCACAAAATTCCATTTTTTGGTCTGAATCCGCTAAAAATTTGTAAAGATAATCAGATGCGCGTGATCCCCGCCATCGAATACCCAGGTTGTCCAAATTACAGACTGAAATTCCACCGGGGCTTTGAGTTATGACCTGTACAACGCGGCTCGTAACTCATTTTGTCAAGGATTTTTCACTATTTTGCTTGTAAAATCCTATCCTATAAGCGAGAAAAGTATGTTTGTTTTCTGTGCAGCCGATTTCTCGGCCGTCAGGCCGAATTTCGCGCTGATTTTTGGCATGGAGGTGGAGAAACACATCCTCTTTATAGGCATTTTTTTGTTTTTCGAAATTTTCCTTCATTTAACGATTTTACAAGCGAAATAGTGAAAAACCCTTAACATTTTGGTCAAAAAAAGGTTTGTACAGAGGATATCTCGCGATCCAAATGGAATTGGGCGCTAATTTTTGGAGGGTAGATTGAGAATTGAATTCTCCCGATATATAAGTCTTCGTTTTGTCAGATTTTGTAAAATGAAGTTTTTATGAACATTTTTATAAAAAGCCCTTAATAAAGTGGGCCAAGAGCCGTGGTGTCCGGGCCATATCTCAGAGCCCAGATGGAATTTCGGTCTGTAATTTGGACCACTTATGTATTCGATGGTGGGGATCACGCGCATCTTATTATCTTTGCAAATTTTCAGCTGATTCAGACTATAAAACCGAATTTTGTAAAGTGACCAGTAGGCCTCCCTCCGGGGATCATTGGGTTGCGCTTTTCTTTTGCCTTCCCGCCCTTTTCCCCAGGACAGATGAGGGCTTTCCCGCCGCCTGTTCGTATCTGTCGGATGGTGTAGTGGCTTTGCGCCCGGTCTACCATGCGCATGGTCGTGAGTTCGGATCCTGGGAGAATTTAATTTTTTGCTTTTTGGTAGTTCAGTAACAAAACATATTTCTAGGCTCTGGGTGCGCGAGATTTAGGCCTGGCTCTCGCTCTAGCGCCGCAGGCCAAAGAAAAGGTCCTTGGTCCGGGCTCTTGTGCCGCAGGCAAAGGATGGGTTTTTGAGCTAGGCTCTTGCGCCGCAGACCAAATCTGGGAGAAAAACCAGTAACTAGCACTGCAGGTAAAAAGATTCTAGCGCGTTTAGGCCTGGATCTCGCTCTAGCGCCGCAGGCCAAAGGAAAGGTGCTTGGCCTAGGCTCTCGCGCCGCAGGCCAAATCCTCGAGAAAAACCAGTAACTAGCGCTGCGGGCAAAAAGATTCTAGCGCGAGGTTTAGGCCTGGCTCTCGCTTTAGCGCCGCAGGCTAACTGAAAGGTCCTTGGACCAGGCTCGGCGCTGCAGGCCAGAATGGCTCCTTGACTCACGTTCTTGCGCTGCAGGCTAAAAAAGAAGGTATTCGAATTCATCGTTCCTGTATTAGCAACCATGTGTTACGCCTCTTACATGTGCTAAGTATAGCGCTTTAGATGTTTATTAGTCTTCTAGCACAGATCTTACATGTGCTGGGAGTCCAAAGTGAGGAGAGCGGGCTAGCGGATCCCTCGCTAGCTCGCGAGATAAGACACAAGATAAATGAGTGTCAGGTGGTGCGCGCATAGAAATCCCTTGCTAAAACAGCGGGAGCTAACACCTGGACGGGGTCCAGTGGAAAAGGGCCGCGAAGCGGGCTTTTTCCACTGGTCGTTAAATGAAGGAATTTCGAAAAACAAAAAAAACGCGTGTCTGGCAAGGGCACTCCTCCACCTCGATGCCAAAAATCAGCGCGAAATTCGGCCTGACGGCCGAGAAATAGGCTGTACAGAAAAAAAAGCATACTTTTCTTGCTTATGGGATAGGATCCAGCAACAACAACAACATTAATTTCTTTTCTAAATACGCTGGAAACGCTCAAAATCGCGCTTTCGACATATCAGCCTGGGCCTGCAAGGTTCCTGAAGGGCGACCCCTCGATTTCTTTCCTCAAAAAATGTTGTCGCTGTTTCTTCGGGTTTTTGGGCTATTTTTAGTGCTATGTAATATCTAATTACCTTTACAATGTCATTACAAAGTTAACAGGCTTTAAAAAGGTTCTCCTATCCATTTTTGGAGGCGTTTGTAGTTTGTAGCCGAACGCCCAGATCACCGACGACAAGCCTCTGTGTCGGTTAATTAGCATCAATGACCCGAGACCGCCAAATCAAATACGGAGGCCATTTGAGCCCCTATTCTGCGCGCCAATTCAAAAGAACAACTTGTCAACGGTTTCTGATTCCTAATTACTCCATATTAATTTTAATCGTACCCATCCCAACTTATTAGGTTGAATCGTAAGTCCGTTCGATGTTTTTCATTTTTTTTTTGTACTTTCGTTCCAGCAACCCGGTTCAGAACTGAAATGTTTTAGCGATAGACTTATGCACAATCCAAAACTTTATCCTCTTCCTGGTTTGACCCAATCACGAGACTCTCTCTTTAGAATTCCTTCCTTCCGAATTACAAGAAAATCAAAAAAAGACTGCCGCCTAATGTTTCCAAAAGAGTTCCGATTCAATTTTTTTGGCTTAGTTCTGCATTTCAGTATTAACCAAAACTTCTTATCTTGATAGTGTTTCCCTCCTATAGTAACTTTATCGCGCTTCTGAAAGATGAC